AGAGACGAGTCCTCACTCTTATCATACGCTGAATTGAGTTCATATTCAGTGCTCTTTAGGTACTCGTGAAGAGCGATCTCAGAGAGTCTCTCCTTTTCCGATATATCGTCGGCCGTCTGGCGTTCGCTGTCTTTCTCGTCCGTCTCATCACTTTTGGGATTAGGAATAAAAAAATCTCTCAACACTTCGTACAACCCATCGGGCAATACATATATCGCAAATCCCGGCCCCAAAGCCATTATCATCGCTAATAAACCAATCAATTATGAGACCAATTAGAAGACGTAATATTATATACACAGTGTTAACACTTACTAATAGAGTAGACAATAAGCACTCCGGGAACGAGTCGTCCGATGATAGCAGTCATGAATAATATAGAAGTGGTTAATAAGAAAAACTTGAAACGCTTTTCACGTCTTAATTTGATTAACCATAAGATGATAGCTCTCGACATAACACATAATTCATTGATATAGTAATTGATTTCGGGAGCGCTTAACACTTTCGGGTGAACGGGTGTCCATCTGTACAGAGAATTGAACGCAAAATTATAATATTTCCAATGCTTTTCAGCCAAGAATTCAAATACAAGTCATTCAGTAATCAGAAGAATGAGACAAAAAAGATAAATACAAAAATTTAATGTGAACTTCATTGACATAATAAACAACAAAATTTATTTCAACGCAAAACAGATCACAAACTCGTGATTATAGTTATAAAAAGACGCCTAAAATCAGTAGCAGAGAGAAAGAGAGTTAAAGCGAATGCAATGACTGAATATAATGTTTGGTACCAATACTCTCACACGGAATATAAGAAAAATAAAAATTACAAAAAATTTTGTTGAATACGATTCAAAAACTTGTGGATTAGACGTAACGGTAAACTCCCATAAAGTTATGCCACAAATGACAAACAAATTCTGGTAAATATTTGCACAAAACTTATGGTGTGATTAAGAATCAGATTTTTAACAATCAATTGTTTGCTAAAAGTAAAAGTGAAGAAATATTAGGGATCTCTTCAAAACACTGGGAACTCAACATTTATTCATTAAACATAACTCGTCTATAACTTTATTAAAACACATGTCTTGGCCTTAATTTCTAGCATACAATCAGTTTGTTAATGAATTTTTTGTTATATATAAAGAAAATAAAATATTTTTCAATAAACAAATCAATAAAAACAAGTCACACATCATATGAATGCATAGATTTGTACAGAATTGGGAATAACTGGCAAATACTGGGGAATGACTGATATATACAACTGATAAGACAATGATATCGTTTATACAATATATTTATGTAATAATTATGTAATAATGAGAGCAAAACATAAGACAATTCATTGTAAACAGAAAAACACATTCTTAAACACTTGTGACTCGTATTTAATCATAGATTAGACGATATTTTAGTGTTTTTCGTAACTCAAAAAACCCATTATATGTTAATATTATTGCGAATAAAACAAAATACAGTGCAATAAGTGTTGGCTTTGGGCCAAAGGTTGCACTTTCTTGTGTCGAGTCTTTGAGAGACAATTCAAACAAAACAATTGACACGAAAAGAAGACAAACACAGATTGCAAGCAAACAAAAACCATAAGACACTTACCCTTCAGTGTCTGTCGATTCGTTTGGCGGTACTATTGGGTGACAAATGAGAGACACAATCAATGCATAATTATTATGAGACCAATGAATGTCTGGCAAATGAACGGCAAAATTACCTCTAATTTCAGGCCATATATATTGAGTCCAAAGTTTGAAGAAATGAATGCAAAACAATGCGATCCCAACGAAGGTATAGAAACGCAATCCATTGAACACAGCGAAGAACCTATGGATCAGATGACAACACCAGTGATGAGACAATACACACATTGGGACGACATGTATAACGCATACCAATAAAGACAATTGAAGACAAAGAGGGCGACCATCGAGTGGTGCGGTTT